CTTCAACACAATTGTTTCATCTAAAACAAAAGAGAATCATACAATAATGAAGCAATGAACTTTTAAATTTCAATATCTTCTGGTTTAAGTTTTGTACCATTTCTACTCAGAAAATTTCACACTAAATTCCGAATTTTTAGCTTAAATTTGGGCAAGAGTTTGCACAATTCAAAGCTGGGTTAAAATCACAAACTGTAGCATTTACAAAAATAAAATAAATTCCAAATGACAGCTCTATCTTTTCCAGCACAGGGGATTTACTGCTGAAAAATACCTAGAAAAAGCTGCATTCTGACTGTGAGTGGGGTCGCCTCTCCGCAGATCTGACCTGTAACTTGGTCTGGTTTGGTCTCCATGATGATGGATAGAAAGGTTTAATGCCATACTGTGAAACATTCCAGACAAAACACGAGCATCTCGACAGAACGGACCCTCCACCGGAATAAAGTTACACAATGCACCTTTAAGGCAATTTTGCCGCAATTACAAATTATATTTTAAAATTTTATTTTTTTCAACTGCGTAATACCTCCTTCGATGCATTTGTTCCATCTAAAACAAAACCCAATCATACAATAATTAAGGAATGACTTCTAAACTTTTAAATTTCAATATCTCCTTTTTAAAAGTTTTGTACCATTTCAACTCGGAAAATTTCACACTAAATTTCAAATTTTTGGCTTAAATTTGTGCAAGAGTTTGCAAAGTTCAAATGTAGTAGTGGCAAAAAACAGCTGGGTTAAAATCAGAAACATCAGCACTTAAAAAATTATAAATAAATAAAATAAATTCCAAATGACAGCTCTATCTTTTCCATTTCAGGGGTAAAATACCTAGAAAAAGCTGCATTCTGACTGTGAGCGGGGACGCCTCTCCACAGATCTGACCTGTAACTCCATGAAGATAGAAAGATTTAATGCCATACTGTGAAATATTCCAGACAAAACATGAGCATCTCGACAGAACGGACCCTCCACCGGAAAAGTTACACAATGCACCTTTAAGGCAATTTTGCCGCAATTACAAATTAGAATTGCATTTTTTTGTTTTGTTTTGTTTTTTCCAATCAACGCAATTGTTTCATCTAAAACAAAACACAATCATATAATAGTGAAGGAATAAACTTTTAAATTTCAATATCTTCTGGTTTAAGTTTTGTACCATTTCGACTTGGAAAATTTCACATTAAATTCACAATTTCTGGCTTAAATTTGCGCAACAGTTTGCAAAGTTCAAATGTACTAGTCATCGAACAACAGCTGGGTTAAAATCACATACTGTAGCATTTAAATAAAAAAAAAAAAAGAATAAAATAAATTCCAAATGACAGGACATCCTCTATTCCAAAGAATCACGGCAGAAAAATGCATTCCCTGAACAATTTTGTGACGAAAATTTCCAAAACAATTTAACTTTTCCCACATTTTACTACAGGTTTTCAAAGCTCATCTCACGTACGAAAAGGAAATCGAGCTGAGACTGAACCTCCTTTGCTTTCCAACTAAATGTGACGATTCATGAGAGAAAAATGCGTTTACGGCAAAGCAAATTTAAGACAAATACCTGGAAATTTCACAATATATTTAAGGAGCAATCCATCTTAATCAAATCTGGGTTGAAATTGAAGTTGCTGTTGTTGTTTTTTTCTTCTTCTGCAAGCGCTGGGACCAGTTTTTCTCCTAAATTTAGACACCACAGATAACCTAAACTTGTGTCTTTCCACCTGTCTCTTGTAAATTTTTAAAAATAAATTCACCGTAGTAAAAAATAGAGCTTTTATCACTTCGAAGAATGCAAATTGTGGCTGGGATTCTTCACGACGATTTCAAAGTCAGACCAATTTCACTCACAAAACCTGCTTTGGATCACGCTTCTAGTTAAGCCGCTCTTGCCAAACTCGGCGATCAATTTCCTCCAATTACGTGCAAGGGTAAAATTGTATGTATTTCACAATTTGGATAAGTTTGAGAGACAAAATAAAAGTGAAATCACGCTTTTTTAATCCTTTAGAGACTAGCCTCGTACTTGTTGATTGCAGCTCAATTTTTCAATTTCCAAAACTTCACGTTGCTATTGTACGACGAACAATATGAAATTTGGGACGATTCGATAATTCTGTCATAGTTTTTGCTTCGCGTTAGGCCTGCAGTCGAAGAAATCTGCCAACTCTGACTAACTTTGTTAAAAAAAACGATAGAAGAAACCGCTTTTATAATTTTTACAATTTCGCAACTTATTTTGTGTCAAGTTAATACCAAATTCCTCTTTCGTCATTCGTCTAGTCTGTCTGGTCTCCTGTGAATTTCTAAGTAGATAAAATTCTTAAATTCTTAAACACAAATCTAAAATTCATCACTGGGATTTCAAGGGGTGGGGCGAGATCTCGTGACACAAAATCTCGCGAGACAAAATTGCCAAAAGATCGTGCACGCGTGAGAAAAAGTATCACGTGAGACTTTTTTTTTTCCTCCTAAAATTACATTTGGTTTGGACAAAAATGTGAAAGTTTTACAATTTGAGAAGCTTTAGTTGCAAAAAGCAGAACTAAGATTACATAAAATAAACAAAAAATAGTGAAGCTAGAATTGTGAAATGGATTGTACTACTTTTTTTATTACAAATTACTTCAAAATTGTCAAAATTTCATCTTGTCTCGTCCTGCCGCTTGCGATTTCTTTGGCGAAACTTTCAAATTTAAACATTTGATCGTCATTTTCAAAACCACATTCGGGTCACAGTTTCAGCTCTAATCTGAAGTCTGAAAACCACACTTTTGTTTTCCTTTTTCCCAAGCAGATAAGGAATAACCTCAAATGCGTCAACTGTAGTATCAAATCTCAAAATTTTCTCACAATTTCAAACATTTTCACTTCGCTTAAATCTCATTATTTCACATTTGAGACATTTAAGAGGTCACGGCTCGAACAATATCCTGCCAACTGCCAAATTCAAGTCACATTTTGTTCCAAAGTGCGCACTAAAAGAGAGCTTGCTCGACTTTTTAACGAAACACAAACCAAAATTGACAACTTATAAAAAAATTCTAGGATTGCTTACGTTCTTTTCATAAACACATGCGATGCAAAATGACACTTTGTGACATTACTTTGGTTTGATTTGTTCATTTATTTTTCATTTTGAGTCTAAATTTACAAATCTGGACACTGCTTTCTTGCACAAATAACCAACTTTGACACATTTGAAGAGTTAATTTGCAAAAACAGATCAGCCCCTTTACATTTTTAAAAGCCAAATCTATTTCACGGCGCTTTTTGATAAAATCCGCTACACATTATTGTCACTGGAGAAGATGGTAACAAAATCTTGATAAATAAAAACTTTTTGGGCAACAGAGCTCTGTTTTTGCAATTGAACTCTTCATTTACACGCCAGCTTCCCTGCTCACCCTGCTACATGTTTTACAAGTGCACTCAAGGTCCTAACGACGTGAGATTCTTCCAACTCCTCAAATCCAGCTGATACATTTACGTAAAAAAAAACAAAAAAAAAAAAAACGTACCACGAAATCGAAAGCAGGACAATTTGAGAACTGCAAACAAGTAAGGAGGTAATTCAGGCGTTTACGCAGCGTGACATTCGGGTACGTGCGGTCAGATGTGCGCAAGAATGAAGGAATGAAGGTTGCATTTTACGTTTTTGGTGCACTTTATCTCCGCCACTTTACGTCACGTTGATAAAATCGACGGCTGCGCGAAGTCAGTCCGCAGAGGTCAACCCTAAAAAAAAAAAAAAAACGCTCGCATTATTCTCGTTATCGCTCCTCGTGCCAATAGGAGGATTTACGAGGATCGATGCTTGTTGCGCGCGGTTGGAAAGTTACAGTTTTGGCGTTTTGTTTTGGTTTTTTTTGCAGTGCGCGAGTGAGCTGTGGGTAAAAATACGAATCAAACAGGACGTGCGTGTGTCTAGACAGCGACGTATACGCAGACAAATTAACCCAGCGAAACGAAACGCGCACGTTACGCGGGGAGATGAAGAGAGGAGAGGATGAAAAGGAGGAAAAGGAGGAGAGGAGACAATGCACGCGATGGAAAAAAAAAAAAAAAAAGGAGGGAAAGACAGAGCGGATCAATTGGAGAGGGGGGGGGGGGGGATCGCGAGCTCGTGTCTACCCGTGGCACAGCGAGCGAGCGCCAGTCACAACAAGCATAAAACAGCGTTCAATATTCCAGACATGACTTCGCTCTCACGCACGCACGCACGGATCGGCTGGCACGGGCAGACAGACGAGGAGAGGGGGTGGGGGGGGTGAAAAATATCCCAAAGTCCATCATCGTAGCTACACCGGGGACACACACACGCACGCACACACACGCGCGTCCTATCGGATCACAGGTGGCGGCGGCGGCGGTGGCGGTGGACTTTGTTTTGGAGACGTGAGTGAAGCGTGCCAATCGCGGCGGACAGTAAACACGACAGCCGAACCCGGTCGTAACGCGCAGTGTGCAGCGCGCGATGTTGTAATGTCAACGCGCGCTGTCATGCCATGCACACAAATGTACGTAATGGTCACGTCGTGCGAAATCACCGCCGGGAGCTCACGTCCCGCGGTATAGCCCGATTAAACCCCCGCGCCGCGAGCCGTAGCGCATACTAAAAACGCGACAGAGGAGGCAAGGCTGCACGTCAGGGGGTTCTGGAGGAGTAAACTTAAAGCTCGAAGAGAAAAAAAAAAAGAAAAAAGCACCGACACTTGTTCACGCGCACAAGGTGTTGCTCCTCTCTCCGCGAACACCGTAACTTGCCACGAGCGAAAAAAAGTTCCCCCGACGGGAGAGGTTGCGCGGGGACAAGCGCGGGTGTAGACCAGACCTGGGAGGGGGGGGACGTACACATATGCACATGGGTGAATGGGGGAGAAAGCCGCCGTGGGAGACGCGTGGATCTCCGGACGCGAGCGCTGCCACTTGTCGCTCGGTCGTAGTAGTAGTAGTAGTAGCAGTAGCAGGAGTAGGAGTAGTAGTAGCAGCGGTACTCACCCACGGGTACTTGCGGGAGTTTTGTGGGGCTGGGGTTATCCACGTCTCTCCGTTTGTCTCTCCACGCACGCAGGGGCACGGGCAGTCAGTCAGGCAGTTCGCAGTGCCCGCTCTCTCTCTCTCTCTCTCTCTTTCTCTCCCTCTCTCTTTCTCTCTCTCGCGTTCCCTCTGCTTCTCTCTCTCTCGCACGCACGCACTAAACTGGATCGCGCTCCGTGGTCGGGCTCCTGAGCGAATCGACGCCGCGCGCTGACGTCAACCCCGTCACAGCGCAGCCACAGAGCGTAGAGAGAGCCCGGAGAGAGCCGGAGGAGCGAGAGCCAGAGGAGCCGCGGCGGTGTTGGTGTTGGTGTTGGTGGTGGTGACTGACTGACTGGGGAAGGGAAGGGGAGGGTGACAAAGTGAGACACCTACAGGGGGTTGTGCGTCTGCGTCTGCTGCGTCTGCTGCTGCTGCTCGCCGCTGCTGCTGCTGTGTGCGTCCGTGCGCGCGCGAAGGGACGTGGAGAGGGTGTGTGTGTGTGAGTGTGTGTGCGCGCGTGGGGGTGGGGGGGGGGTGCGGACCGGAGCCTGAGGTGGTGGTGGTGGTGGACACGCCCCCTCTGTCTGTGTCTGTGCGCTACTGTACGCCTCTACTGTACCAGGGGTCATGCGGGGATTCCATAGCGCTCCATACGAGACACGGAGGATTTTTTATTTTTTCTCACAACTCCGGAGTGCAAAAAAAAAAAAAAAAAAAAAAAAAAAAGCAACTCATTCAAATCAAATCAAATAAAAGTAAGATTTCGTATGTTCTGAACTACGTCTACAATGTCTAAAATTATTCTGAAGCTGTAAACTTTTAGATTTACAAGCACCAAAAGTCCATGCGTCTCCACCAAAAAGTGTCCATCTGTGGAACTGTCTGGATGAAGCATTAAAATTAAAAGGTTCTCAAACAATTTACACATTAAAAAACAAAAAACAAAAATACATATAGAAGACCAGAATTATAGAAAAAAATAGAGAAATACAATAAAACTGGAACATGGAACTTACAGATTAACTATAAACCTCAGTTATAAAGTATAAAGTGTCTATGTATTTATAAACCAATAAGTATAAGTGTGGGTGTGTGTGGGTGTGTGTGTGTGTGTGTGCATCGATGTGTATTAGATTGTGTGTCTGTTGCGTGTGTGTAAACCAAAAGAATTAAGTATGTATTCCTTCCTGCACTCAAATAAAATGAGTTTTTGTGATGTTTTTTGTAACATATAATTGTATTTTGTTGTATATTTTAATAAGTTTAAGCAAAATTTGTGTTAAAACTTCGGCCTAAACCCCTTGGATCTGTAGAATAACTTTAGTGACATGCATAAAAAGAATAATTTGTGTGTTAAATCACTGTCATATGCAAATATACAGAAATATAATAAAACTGGAACATGGAATTTACAGATTAACTATAAACCTCAATTATACAAAGTGTCTTATGTGTATTTATAAACCTATTGACATGAATACTAATGTGTGTGCGTGTGTGTGTGTGTGTGTGTGTGTGCGTGTGTGTGTGCGTGTGTGCGTGTGTGTGTGTGTGTGTGTGTGCGTGTGCGTGTGGGAACGTGTGTATTAGATTTTGTGCCTGTTGGGTGTGTGTAAACCAAAAGAATTAAGTACGTTTTCTTTTTTGTACTCATAAAAAAATGAGTTTTTGTGATGTTTTTTGTAACATATAATTGGATTTTGTTGTATTTTTTTAATAACTTTAAGCAAAATTAGTGTTAAAACTTCGGCCTAAACCTCTTCGATCTGTAGAATAACTTTAGTGACGTACATAAAATACATCATTTCTGTGTTAAATCACTGTAATATACAAATATACAGAAATACAATAAAACTGGAACATGGAATTTACAGATTAACTATAAACCTCAATTATACAAAGTGTCTTATGTGTATTTATAAACCAACAAGTAGAAATATTAACATGTACAGTGTGTATGTGTGTAAACCAAAAAGAATTAAGCACGTTTTCTCAAAAAAGATGAGTTTTAGTAATATATAATTGTATTTTGTCGTATTTATTAATAAGTTTAGGCAAAATTTGTGTCAAAACTTCAGCCTAAACCTCTTCGATCTGTAGAATAACTTTAGTGATACACGTAAAATACATAAGTTGTGTGTTAAATCTTTGTAATATGATGTACGATTATGTTAAATGATCCGAGAAAATAAACTAAACTTAGACTTGGACAAACTTTACTGATCCAAAAGTTAAATTATTTGGGCGCAGGAGCTCACACTGTCACATTACAATAAATAAAATAACAAAGAGTATAAAAATATAAATACTAATAGTAAAAACCCAACCCAAAACATAGTAAGTCTCCAGGAAGAACAGCCGATATCTGATAGTTAAAGAAAATTAAATACAATTAATCAATGAATCTGCCCAGAGACGACAGGTGGAAATTCAGACTGTGCACTGTCCCTGTCTCATTAAATAAAATAAAATAAACTAAACTCTAAATAAATAAGTTGCAAAAAAGATAGAAGACAAAAGGAGGCACCTCTTGTATAAAGCCCACATTTTATATTTTATTACTTGTCTTTCTTTTTAATTTTGACTTGTGCATTTACATTTATATCATTTTGTCTCTTGCTCTTTTTGTGCTATTTATTTAGAATTTATTGTTACTATTTATATTTTTGCTCTTTGTTATTATATTATATTGTGATGTGTGAGCTCCTGTGTCCAAATAATTTCCCTTGTGGATCAATAAAGTTTTTGTCTAAGTCATAATTATGTAAATGTAAACGTACAAGTCGAAACAAAAAAATAAAAAATAAAATAAAATATAAAATCTCAGCTTTATACAAGAGGTCATAGGAAAATAGAGCAAGAATTCAGATTTTTTTTATTTTTTTTGAGACATTGATTAGTAGGTTAAATTATGGCAGAGTTTAAATGACAATAAATAATAAAATAAATAAATAAAATGGAATTTGGTCATCATAATCTGGGCCTGTAAAATGACGTTTTTAATAAATAAATAAAAATAGAAATGTAATCAGTAATACTCTTTCATATTTGTATTTGTCTTTTGGCAGAGTTAGAAGTTTTAATCACCACATTGAAGAATATTTTACCTCAATTTAGACCTAAAATATAAATAATATTTTGTTTAGTTAACTAATTGAAAAGAAAAAAAAAATTTAAAAAAGCTTAATGAATTAACAACTAGTCAACTATAAAAATGTTCTTTAGTAACAAAAATAATAATGCATTAGATTTATAAAGTGTTTTTTTTTTTGGACAAAAAGACACTTAAAACAAAAATAAGACTATAACCAGGTCTAAACTATAACTAAACCAGGACTAAACTAGAAACTAAACCAGTCTAAACCAGGTCTAAACCAGGACTAAACCAGGACTAAACCAGGACTAAACTAGGACTAAAACCAGGTCTAAAACAGGACTAAAACCAGGTCTAAACTAAACCAGGACTAAAACCAGGACTAAAACCAGGACTAAAACCAGGACTAAAACCAGGACTAAAAACCAGGACTAAAACCAGGTCTAAACTAGAACTAAACCAGGTCTAAATCAGGACTAAAACCAGGACTAAACCAGGACTAAAACCAGGACTAAAAACCAGGAAAAACTAAAACCAGGACTAAATCAGGACTAAACTAGAACTAAAACCAGGACTAAACAATATGACACTAACAGTAGGTTAGCACTAGGTTAGTAGGTTAGGTTAAATTATGGCTGACTTTAAATTTAAATAAATAAATAAAATGCAATTTGATCATTAGAATCTGGGTCTGTAAAATGACGTTTTAATATATATATATATATACACACATATATTATATACACATACATATATATAATACATATACATATAAATATAAATAAATGTAGTCAGTAATACTCTTTCATATTTGTATTTGTCTTTTGGCAGAGTTAGAAGATTTAATCACCACATTGAAGAATATTTTACCTCAATTAGGCCTAAAATATAAATAATCGTTTGTTTAGTTAACTAATTGGGAAAAAATAAAAAAAAATAAAAAATCTTAATAAATCAATGACTAGTCAACTACAAAAATGTTCTTTAGTAGCAAAAATAATAATGCATCAAACTTGTATAGTGTTTTTTTGGACACAAAGACACTTAAAACAAATAAGAAGCAACAGGAGAAAAATAAATAAACTTAAAAATGATGTAAACTTTGCGGAAATAATTCTGAAACTCAGGCCACATTTTTACTTAATTGCATCAGTTCATTTAATATTTGGCTAAATGATTTTATAGGTAAAGTTACAAATCATGTCATCTTCTATATATGTTGGACTATTTTACTTGTTTAAAATTGCACACAGAAAGTCGTGTTGTGAATAATAACAAACACTTTCAGGTAGAAACATGTTCGGCTGTGTCACATTTTTGAAAATAAGTAAATAAACAAACAAATAAAATCATGTTTGCAGTGCATTTTGGGTTAATTTGTTTGTACTGCCTTGTCACATTTATGATCAGTGTTTCCCAGTTTATACTCTGAATAATATTTTTTGTTTGTTTGTTTGTTTTTTGTAGTAAATTGTCGCATCTTTAAGAATAATTTGGAAGGTTATATTGCCATAAATATAGAAAATAAACCAAAATATAACAAGCAGCCGTAACTGTCAGTGTACAGTAAACACAGTAAACAAAAAGTACTTTAAAGTATTAGTGAAAGACAGTAGAATCGTGCACTTACTGTTTCTGGTTTGTCCGTGCACACAGGTACAGTGCACCACCCGCACAGGTGCTTCATCATTGGCATTAGTGTGAGATCATGTGACCAGGACTTCCTCCACCTGCAGAAGCACAAACACACTCCTGCACCTTCAAAATAATACACAGGAAAAATACACAAGGTTTGGTGTTTTCAAAGGATCAAATGAGAAAAAAACAAACAAAAAAAAACCCAAAATCATATCTGAGGAAGTAGTGCGAAAAAGACATATTCAAAATCATTTCAAATTGTCAACATGAAACTTTTATCATTTGTAGATTTAAAACTTTTACTCAAGTTAGTTTTGTTACACTTTCAAATATGACAGGTGTACACTAGAAAAAAAAAAATCTAGTTGAGTTAAAATGACTTAAATTTAGAACATTTGACTTTGAGTTAATTCAACTTGACAAGTAAAATTATTTATTATTTTTTTTAAGTGTAGCAAGATGTATTTTAAGTACAAAAAGTCTTATTCCACTGGTAGATAATTTTATGTTAAGTGTTAAATGAAATTTACTCAAATCATGATAAAACTTTCTTAATTCAAGTCATCTTAACTTGACTAGGTTTCATTTTTTTGCAG